TTTGTCGGCTTGACAAATAAATGTCACTAACACTGAAGAACTAAGAGTTGTAAAAGCTTGAAGTTCCAGAACGAGGCAAAACCTATGAAGTGAGGCACAATGTTGTTTCATTTACTTTTTATGCGACTTTTTCTAATAATTAGCAAAACTCCTCAAGTTTTGATAACATGATCGGAACACATATGACTCAATTTTAATAATATGCAAAAGATTAAACAAACACAGTTGGTAATAATAATAATAATAATATCTTTATTTCTATTGTATTATGCATAGCGAAACTATGACATTTTTGAGCGCTTAAAAATTACACGTATCAAAATGTATTCCAAAAGAAAATTGTTCTTTATAATAATAAAAAAACCCGATGTTTTATATAATTGGAACAAATGAACATTTATGTCTTTTTCCATGCTTATTCATTCAAATTTATTCAATAGTTTTTTTACAAATGCAAAATTTAGCGTTTTTCGATTGAGCTAACAAATGATTTCATACAAACTCACGACAGACATTTTTGTAAAAAGAAGAAAAAACTTTTAAAAATGATTTTTTTATGACCTTGTCACTTTTTTCTATTTTTTCCTCCAATAGATGTATTCGTTATAAGCTGATTTCAAATAATCTTCAGCTTTGTGCCTTAGCAGTGGCGGAATGAGCCATAGCGACACAGCGGGCTGATTCAGATCGCGGCCGTCTTACAGGCTCACGAAGTCCGTCATCTCTCCACTGTCGGTAAATTAGTACCAGAGGAATTTGGGTAAGATAATTAGCACTCACTTGATGAAGAGTGTTAAACTCTAGTCACTTAATAGACCAGGCTCGCATTTCACCATCTCCACGATGTCACGTTGAAGACGAATGCATAGACGCACCCAGCAAGAGGTATTGCTCAACGCGAAAGCTAATCTTATCTTGTCTCACCTTAGTTTGATAATAATGATAACCAACACAAAAGGTTGTTTAAAAAGTCTAAAAGCTTTGATAACTTTAGAATATGTAGCATTAGATAAATGCTATAGGAATTAAGGAAAGAAAAATGGGCTACTAGTTGCTCATTTTCATTCTCAGTTTGGTAGGCTTCAATGCGGCCTCAATCCTGCGGCTCTACTTTGCCGCTGGAGACACACGTCCACATTAAATATAATAAACAATGTTAGCGCTTCGTAATATAACAATAATGAAATTTGAATTGTTTTCTTCACAGGTCTGCAAAATGCAATATTGATGATGAGTCACACTACGCTCATCTGTCTTGTTGACATTAAAGAATTTTTATTAATAAATAGAAAACAGCCGCTAGAAATTTTAATAATGAGTGACAGTTGCTCGCTTTGCTCTATAAGTTTTAGCTAATTTTATAGCTCGAATAATTTATAAGAGCTATTCTACTTGAGTTTTAATGTTACCAATTTGTTAAATTAACGATAGGTTGCCTCACTAGTCAAAGTTGTGTAAGTTTTTTGACGACAATTACTGATAGGTAGACGAACACCGATTTGAATCGCAGCTGCAGAGTCGTTTCACTCAAATGTGAGGTCTATGGTAGAGTACGATCACAAATCTACTGATATACCGATTTTTGGTGCGATATCTTAGGAAAAATGTGGAAAAAATGAGGCTGTAAACTTGGGTGTTCCACAGTATCAATTGTTCCACAGTACGAGTCACAAGCTATTTTGCACTGCTCAGTGATTGTTACTCATTTATTTCGACGTTTATTTTTAATAAACGCTCGATA